TGTATCCCCCAAATCTGTTCAGCCCTCAGCTCAGGAGCACTCGATTTATGCATCAAATAAATATCTTCCATAAAGGCACGTTTTACAACAAATTCATCTGAGAGCAACATAAGTCTCAGCTTGCAGTGTTACAGTATTTATTACCATTTACAATGCATGACAGAAAAGGTCAGTAGAATGAGATAACTCAGTGCAGCAAAGGAACAAAGTGTCATCAGACTAATTAGCCCACTGCCTGCCTCCTAAGCGGCGTCGGTTTTAACAGAGAGAACGGCAGAATAAGGGTGAGATGTAATTAAATGTTGGTGTGGTAGCTCAGCAGGAATCTGAATAATTTGTCAAATAAGCTGTAGCTGGTCTGTCCCTGTGGTTCAGAGCTCTAAGATGCTTATCATGTAATCACAGAGTTTCTGCCTGAAAACTCCTGGTCTTATTAAACTGCCCCCCCATGAGGCTGTATAGGATGAAGCAGGTATAGGAGATGAATACTATCATGCTACTATGTCAAAGTCCACATGTTTTCATGGTAAACACATCTGTTTTAATGACATGTACCCACGTTTTCTGGTATTTTGTAGCCGATATGTTGAGTTCAGAGACTTAAAGAGCAATACTAAATACACTTATATAGATTTTCCTGGAGCTGTCTTGTTATTTGAGGGTGGTCATTAAAACCAATCAAGCCACTGTGGCCACATTATCATACATTCAGTGGAATTATGTACAAATCTAAGATACAGTATGCTTCCCCGTTGTTCCCTGCTCAAAAATAAATGATTCACAATGGATGTACTTCTGCTTCTCTGTCGTTCCAGTCGAGCCTTAATGCACAGTTTTCTGATATTAAGATTATGTCTGCTCAAGTTTCCATCCTCTCTCTCTGATTTAAGGAAACTCGAAAGCATATCTCTATCAAGAAGTAAAGGTGGCATATCGTGCACCGGTATCCATACAGACACATGGGGTAAGTATAGAGGCAGAATAGAAACTGTGAGATGTCAATATTTAAACAGCGCTGGTCTTTTGTGTTCCAGTTTCTGACCATAAGGGTTTCTATTCCATTTTTTTAAAGTCCTGAGAAAACAAACTGTGTACTGGAAAGAACTTTTAGTCATTAGAGAATGAACAAGGATAGTTGTACACAAATTCTGAGTTTATCTGTCTGATTTGAAATCAGTTACACAACTTACTCATGTAATCCATTTGCCTGCCCATGATATTTATCGTTTTGTACAATTCAGACATTATTAAATGACTATACGTTCATTTAACTGTTTGATCAGTCACTGACATTCACACTGTAGGGCTTAATCTGTATGCACGTCCACTAGGGACAGACTAATAATCATGTCATGTCATTTGTCTCGTCAATAGGTGGCAGCAAACAACTCCCATCAGTCAATCAATGAGCTTTGTTCAAGGAGGGAACAAAGCTACAGAACAGCCCCACTGTGGTGGAAGTCAACAACCTGACCAACCATATGCACATAGTTTCAATTTATAGGAATTTTTATATTTGTAACTGTTTATTTAGGGCTTCTAAGGCCCTTATCTCAAGGGTACGATCCAAAATAGTTCCCTCTAATACCATTTTTACTGACCACAATGCACCAGCGCCCCAGTTGCACCTGTTGCTCAGAGATGACTGGCAGGTGACATTGTTTGACCTCACACGGCCTCATGCATCTCATTTAAATCTGCTCTCTGATAAAGGATAGAAAATCTAATGTTGCCTAACAAAAAATGTAATTGCATTTTACTTTTGGGCTACTTGAGAGATATTTTATAGGCTGATTCTAGTATTGTTAGACCCAGTATTTCTAATTAGTTTTCCCCTAACAACTAAATTACTTAATAGTTGCCCACTCTTTGTTTTTTTCTAGCATTGTGATGGAAGTTGTGGTTGACCAATATATTAGTGAAATAGTTACCTGTGGTTGGATCAGTTAAAACACTGGAAAAATGTATATAAAATAAGAACTTCTGGCTGAGCAGTCATGTTCTTGGGCAGACTTGGCTGTACTTCCACAACCGCTTTATGAAAGTTTAATGCCCACAACTTTCCTGCCTGGACGCCGGCACTGGGAATGCAGTTCTTACATTCATGGCAGTAACAGTGCCTTGCTAAACTCCACTGCGCCATACAGGCCCTTCCCCGGTGGGCGTGCGTAACGGCCCCAGCCCTCTCTAAATATAACTCCCCTCCAAAACAGAAAGGAGAGAAAAGGGAGAACGGAATGCTTACCCAATCAAAAGCACTCTGAAAACTTATTGGGGAAGAGTTTTTTTTTTTTTTTTCCCCGGATACAGTGTGTGTCTTATATCGTTTTGATCCATTTTGTGGCCCCGGGTGGTGCTGGTGGAGCGCACAGCGGGAGGCGCATTGTCTGTATGCAAACTGGACGACATGGCCATTGTATGCGTTTGGGCATATATGGAGCCACTGATGGCTCGGAGGACACAGCCCGTGTAAAGTCTCAAGGAGAGTCGCCCTCGGTCGTGTTCCGCCCGTTTCTCTCCTCCGACTTTATCTTCTTCTTCTTAACGGTTTCTGCTCCGGCGCTATGAGTTGCCTGGATGTGATGTACCACCAAAGCTATGGAGCGCACTACCTCCCTGCAGCGGCGTACAAGGCGACGTACTATAACCACCACCATCACCAGCAACAACAGGTGAGACACTCATCGTAGAACTTTTGTGCGCGTGTGTGTGGCTGCTGACACCAAATAACCTCAGCTGGAGGATTTTCTTTTTCCACTTTGGGGAGACGGAATTACTTCCACAAGCGCTCGTGTGACCTCGGGTGACGAGTGAGGTCTGTATTTTCACAGATTGCAGCAGCTATTTCTGATTCTAACAAAAAGTTTTTTCAAGGAGAAGCAAAAACTGCATGACCAGAAGTGACAGAGGACAAAATGTACCAAACTTTGGTGATAAATGAATCAGAAAGTAGTTGGACAACCCAGTCAAGCTGTAGGGTTAGTTGTAAAGTGAGCTTTATGATTAATGGACCCTTTTCTGCCCAAACTTTTATCCTGTATTGGCTGCTTTCTGTCCAGGATATCACTTTAAACTTTCCTAACGCCCCACAGCCACAGCTCCCTACCTTAAATTTCACTTTTGAATGATTAAATTCCAGTCTGGGGCTCGGTATTCACCTCAGGTCAGGCGTAATGACACGGAACTATTAATCCTGTGGTCAAACGGTGATGTAATGACAGCCGGTCAGTCACTCAGGAATGTGGATCAGGCACACTGAGCTTTACAAATAGTTGGAATGCAGTATGGGAAAAAAGAAAGCCATTTTCACACGACTCCCAAAATAAAGTGAATACTGCTAGACAAATATAGGAATTAGTGGTGCACGGCATCAAAAATCTACTTTTTGTCTTTGTTTTTTTTAATTTAGACATGTATCAGCAACAAAAACGGGATTATTTTCTGTATTCTATGAGTTTTAGCATTTAAAAGTAAAACTGACCACTTGGACCTGTCACTTAATCTCTGTCTCTATCTCCCTCCAGAGGAAGCTGAGTGTTTACAGTAAGATGCAGGAGTGCATGGAGCAGCAGCAGCAACAGCAGGGAGGAGGAAGAGGGATGCTGCCCAGGGATCAGGGCCTCCGGCAGGGTCCCGCTGCACCAGAATCAGGCCGTAGATGCTCACCCAGTTCGGAACTGAAAGATGGCCCTCAACCAGCGGAGGCGGAGTACTTGAGCTCCCGGTGTGTACTGTTCACCTACTTCCAAGGCGACATCGGGGATGTTGTGGATGAGCACTTCTCCCGGGCTCTCAGTCAGTCCAGCACCTTCAGCAGCGAGAGCAAACCCATCAGAGTGACTCAGCCGTCTGCTTCAGCCACTGCTGGCTTATGGAAAGGTGAGCGGGGAAACAAAATCTGACTTGAGCTAAACAGTCACTGACTTGGTTTAATTCCCTTAATAGTTAGCAAACCACTTAATACTGTATGTGGCAGTGTGTTATATCTGTGTGCATTGGGTTGTTTCAGATGGAGCGTCTCTCTCTGAGGGTCCCGGCAGCTCAGCTTGGAGCAGCGCTTATGGATCTCAGCCCAGTTCCTGCCTCCCCTCTGTATCTGTCTCAGTCCACCCCGAGTTTTCCTCCAGCCCCGTTTCCTTCAACCACCCGGATGGAGCCCTGTGGGCCGGCCACATGCTCTCCCAGACCAGCCTCCCGCCTCCAGCGACGCTCCCCGACAGCTGGACCTACAGCCTGAGCCCCCAGAGCACAAGCGGCTACCCCAACGTCCATGACGTCTACCATCCTCACCCCCACATCCACACCCGACACCATCACCCCGTGCTTCATACGTACCCAGCCCACAGCCCCGCACTGGATCCCAGATTCAGTCCACTGCTGCTGCCTGGTGTCAGGAGCCAGAACCAGTCAGCCACCAGCGCAGGGAGCTCCCCGCACAGCGAGGGGGTGAAGGCAGAGATGGATCCCAGCAGCAACAGCCCGGTCACGGCTACCTCTGTCACCTGGACCCCATCTGCCCTCCATGGATCTCTGGAGGTGTACGACACAGGTAGCTATGACGAATCAAACTTCACATGCATTCTAACATCTGCAATAAGGCGTCAAAATGAGGACAGTGATTAAACCTTGATTTCTTTCTCTCTGCAGCTCTTGATCAGACCAAAGCAAAGACGTCGGTTTGGTTCTAACTGATACACCAGCAAAAGGACAAATAGACACCAAAAAGGACCTACAATGTGGCTTTATCAATGTATGGCTGCAACACCAGCACTGTAATGTACAATGTAGATATAGGATGCTAACTGTAGCTTAGTCTATCAGTCGTGCACTGCCCTCTCAATTACTACGGAGATGAACTCAGGCTTGGACTTAAATGACAGTGATCTAATGCTTTGACTGCATGTCAAGGCTCTCGAAGAACGATTTAAAAAAAAAAAGACTACTAGCTTTAAGAACGGAAGGTTTCTTCTTTGTCAGCACAAGACACCAGTTTCCTTTTCATGCAATGTGAGACCAAGCGGTTCTGTTTCAAGAGCTCGATTTTGATCCACATTTTTGTTTTGTACAGTAAATGTTTGTTGATGACTGTAAATTGCTTTTCGTGTGTGTGTACAGTTTTGTTGTGCTTCTTTGCTCTTTTGCTGGATGACTTTGGCTAAAATGGTTGCTTGAATGCTGCCTTTACTATGTTTGCCCTCTGGGAATGTGTAGTGTAAATATTGATACTGTATGTTTAAGTAATAAATTTGTTAAGCTGAATTTTCAAATGAAGTTTTTGTCTCAGACATAAATCTACTCAGTTACTCCTAATATATGGAGAATTCAAGAAGAAATAACAACTTCCTCTCAAGGGTTTGGAGCACATCAGTCAAAATTTAAAGATCTGTTATGCATTGATTCTAATTGCTGCTCCCAATAGGTGGTGATTTGTTGTGCACGTCATCCAAAGAAAGGACAGATATGCTTCCTCATGTAAAATCAAAGTTTGTTCGCTCAAATTACAAATATAGGAAGAACATCCACACACTATGATTTGAAGTTGGTGTTTTGTTTTCTATTTTTTACACTAAATGTCAGCTCCGGGATCTTTGTTGTTTAAATTTAAATTGGTGAATAATTTACTAATCTGACATTTTCTCATTTCTTATCGAAGCTTAAACATTGTGAGAGTGAAGCCATCGGCATTAACAACAAGCTAGAAAAATATGATGTTACTTAAGTATACAATAACTGCAAGGATTAATGAGAATAACTACTAGAAATAAGAATAGGTTAGGTTATTGCTATTGTCAGCAGTACATGGAGATTTGTCATAGTGCTGTAAAAACACAGACGTCCTCTAGAAAGAACTCATTTCATAAAATTAAAAAGTGTAGCTTGATGAAGCCCAAACTGCACTGACACCTGAACTCCCTTATAACCAGATAAACAGTTGCTGCAGTCCTCTGTGACATCAGTGCTTCAGGTATGAACTCATATTGTAAGTTTCGGGGCTAACAGGAGCTGAGCTGTGCTACGAAAGGAAGTGGATCGCATTCCACTGGCAATTATTGTAAGATACCATGATGGGTCTGTTTCGTGTTTCCACGCAAACACACACACATTAAAAACACACACACTCCCAGACTGACAAAGACACACCGAAGAATGCATTTCCTGTCTGGACGGGAAGTTTGTCGGACCGTTGCAGACGAGCCACACAAACACGCACTCAAACCCCCACGACAAAAAAAACCAAACAGATCTCAGGTACCACAGTTACGTTGTCGTGGGCTGATCACAACAGACGATGGTATGGATGTTTTTTTGTGTTTTTTTTTTAAAGAGGCTGCTCTAAATACATATTTTAGTCATGGTCTGGTGCAAGGATCAACATTGTGTACACTTAATCATCTGACATAAGCTGATCAGGCCTGTATGTGCATGTCAGTGTGTGTGTGCTTGTCTTACTCATGATGTGGGGACTGTTTAAACAGTCATGTTGTTGGGACCTGCTTCTCTTCTGGGGACAAAAAGCAAGTTGTCCTGAATAAATAAATAATTCAGTTTAACAGTACAGACTTAGTTTAAGGTTATGTTTAGATTAATGTAGTCTAGAAAACCAATGTAAGTCAATGCAATGTCCTCTGGAGTGATGGAAACACGACTGTGTGCATGTGTGTGGTGAGTGGTCTGACCAGGTGGTATGATCAGCAGTACCAGCCCACTGACATTCCAGCCTCCGCTCCCACGTATCTCATTCTCCATCTCGACTAAACAGCAGGACTTTAAATCTGGAGCACAGCAGCTGCGTTTCCATCCAAAGTATCAACAAATCTCTCATATAATAAATGCTTCGTTCAGTCTCAATTTGCCTTAGATCAACAGCACAGAAGTAGTTGTGGATATTTGAAGAGGCTGGCAGCAGAGGATCTATTTACTGCAGCCATCCATGAATGTCAGATAATAATCAGACAGTTAGTTCGATAAATTGTGACTGTTCCCATTTCAGATTTATGGCCTTTTGTATTTAGCTTGAACACTTACAGCATTCAGTGTGAGCAGAGTTAAAAAAATATAACTACAACCTGGGAACTGAGACATTTAAATAAGCCAAATCAATGTTTTATTTATATGTTCTGTTTTTGTTATGGGCCCTTTTTACGGCAGACATTTTTACTTGATTTTGAAAAAGCACAGATGTCAGTAATGTTGTTCATGTGTCTTGGTTAGCCATGACAGTGTGACGGCAAGCACAAGGAACCAGAATCTGGAGTTTGTTTATTTAATGCTGTGTTACGTCAAATTATATGATGTAACATTATGTCATATTATGCACATTATGTCATATTAAGTTGTCCTGTAATATGTCAACGTCTGATAGACGAATCTCGCCACTCAGCAGGCATGTTTGTAGGCAGTTATTTCTGGTTAACAAGAGCAGGTCCCTATATAAATGAATCAAGTCTGAGCTACTTTAAATGGTCTCTAGGAAATAAAAATTGCATGAATAGGATCACCTGTCAAATCTGATTTTAAAAAAAACACTTCAAAAGTTGGCAACTTTGCTCCTAAACAAGGTTTCAAAAGCTTTTTTGACCAGATACTCCCACCACGCATGTATTAAATACTGCTTTAGTGCAAAACTACCATTGGCTGAAGGTTTTTGGCTTGGCTTCAAAAAAGCATATGATTGGCTTTGTAAGGAGGAGGCCTGGAACACATCTCATACCATCGGCATCTTCGGCATTTTGGAAGTCTCCCATAGATTTCTATTCAAGATTATTTAAGCGATGAATCTCTCTCTTATACCATGTCTGGTTATTAATTTACATGCTCATATAAATGCCAAATGTGATGAGAAATCATCTAGCTGTGGATGTAGCTCTTATGTAAAGGTTTAGTGCGATGTTCTCTACGTTTAGGTTCACTTCAGGAGCAAAATAAAAGGCTGCGATTTGCAAGTAAGGTCCTCATTAGCATTAGCATGTAGTCTCTGCATCAGCATGTAGCGCACTTGCATGCTAACAGGCATCCCGCTGGCAGCCTTGGAGAATCACCACAGGCACTTCCACTGCAGGAAGAAGAACACTGAAAATACAAAAACACAGACCTGGAAGTTGAATGAAAGTGAATTAATATGTCAATTATTAAATAACCACAGGGGCAGTTGGAGATTGAGGAAATGTTGCACATGTTGCATTAGATTTTAATTAAAGTTTAAATAGAGGATGTGCCGATAATAAAGATCTTCAGAACAATATATGATGGGATGGTCATAGCCGTTCGTTTTTGCTGCCAAAATCACTAATGTTGATAAAATACATAAGTAAATGAAACAATCTTCACTCTTACCTTACCTACAGCTTTCTAGAAAGATCACTTTTATTCCTTTGCCTTGTTTGCACTCAGGTTCAACATTGTACTTGCATACGTCACAAACCCGGTTACAAGCTTAGAAAGACACACATGCACACAGACGGCCAGGCTTCGCTGGACCTGGACAAAAGGTACTAAATGAGTAAAGGATAAACTCAGGGCCAGTCTTGGGTTGTGGCTCCTCATCTCCTCGTTGCCATGATTGCCTCTTCAATGACCAGCATCTATGTTCTTTCTGTTACAGAGAATTGCATTTATTTTAAGAAATGAAAAGAATTACTTTTATTTTTTTCTTTCATTTTCTTGGAATTCACATTTTCTGGTGACCTGGTGAGCCCCTCGGACTGAATTTCCTGTCTGTTTTTTTTATCCATTTCATTTAATAATGTTCCAGATGTATGATTTATTCCGTCTTTCTTCCTTTGCTGCCACCTCATCCATTCAATTTGTTTATCAGGAAACCTTGTTGTGTACCTTAAAGCAGCAATATTGTATTTTAGCAGATACATGATGGCATTGATTTTTTATTACATACTTGATTTAATAAAAAGGCAGGAATTTACCTTAACAGCTAATCATTTTTTTTTACTGGTAAAATATAGCTTTTATTTACAAATCCTTCTGTTTTGTGCCAAGGATCTTTTATTTAACATATACGATCTGTCATAATGCAGCCAACAGAAATGTCTCTTTATAGCAGAAATAAACATGTTCACAGCCAGAAAAACAAACAAACAAACAAAAAAGGTCCTGGTCTGTATTGCTAATTCCCCCATTAGCGACAACTGTACTGTAGTTTTATATAACTAAACCATCTGAAATGTCTTATTGCTTAAAGTTCTGCATTATTAAGCTCATGGCCACTTTTGGGTGGGTGCTGTCACAGGACTGACCAGAGCTCAGAGATGTTGTCATCTTTGGATTCATCTGGATTTATGAGGAGTCAGGCACTGCTAAGATGGTGACAGCCAGAGCCACCATCCTGAACTTCAAAACCGATGATGTGAGCTGTCCATCTTTCTACACGGTCAGGGGGCACAACACACCACAAGTTAGCACTACAGCCTATAAAAAGAGCAAATAAATCTTGCTGTCACACATTAGGAAGTTACTGAGGCACGACATAATAGAAAGTTGATCCTGTTTGTTGTGTTTGACCTGTTTTTCAGATGTTGCTGCAGTTAAGTCTCAAAGGAAATGTTAAATTTGTAGATCGAATTCAATGGAAGTGCACCGGATTCTGAAGAAACAGTGATAGAGGGGGAGATAGAAAACAGATGCTTCGAGTGGCAGGACTGGAGAGAGTCAGAGTTCACAAAAAGAGATGAAAAGAAAGAGTGGGAGAGGAAAAGCTGATCAGTCATAACACGGTCCAGCTACACATTCCAGAGTAATTGAGCGGATGATTAGTCTCACAATCAGCAACACAACACCAGCTGTCTGAACACAAAACTATATAAATATAGCGATCGGGACGGAGAGGAGAGGAGAGGAGTGCAGCAAAGACAAGCCAAGAGCCACATGGTAGTCATAATCCCTCATCACGTCCCTTTTGCTCCCCTTTTTCCATTCAAACATCCTTTTCTCACTTCCACGAGCCAGCTCAATGCCTACAAATCACTGGGGTAATTAGAGCTAATTTGCCCTCCTTCTATGAGTATTAAGGGTGTTAGGGGTATTAGTGAAAGGCTCAGCTTTCACCACTCTATTTGTGTCAACAGGGCAGCCTAATGAAGCGTGCTGGGACTGTCACAGAACACTTGTCCTGCTGATTACGTTTGATCCGCCGAGTCTTCTGTGTTTTAAATGATACCTGACTCCTCTTTAATAAACGACTGGGAACACCCAAGGAGCACAGAGCCCAGCGAAACGTAAGATTTTCCTGATGTTCACCATCTTAT